TGTCGCTCAAAACGGGCCACGCAAATAATGAAGAAGACGTAGTTGATGGACGGAAAGAGCAGGCTCAGAACGTATACAGCAGCTGTGCTGAAAGGTCCAGCGACTTGGGCGATGATGGCCAGGAGGATCGGGACGATGACGATGGTGATACCAGATAGTTGGGCTTTGCGGAAGAAAGCTGCGCCGAAGATGGAGAAGCTGGTCAAGGACAGGCCAGCAAGGATGTGGAAGATGATCAATATGGCAGCGTTGGAGGTTTGGAAAGCCAGAGCCCAAAGGATGGCGCCCATAATGACCCAGCCCGGGAAGTAGATGATGTCGAAAGCAATGTGCATGGACAGAAGACGGGCAAACTGCGTGTGCCATGGCTTTTTGGCGGGCGACATGGCTTCGACCAGCTGGGATATGCCGCGTTCTCTCTCCTCGGCCATTTGCCCCGTGAGCTGATAGGTGACGCCGCACACGCCAATGTACAGAGCCACGCCCATGATGTTGATGAGTGCGCCCATGTACAGGGTCCTGATGCGATCGTCGTATTCTTGCTGCGTACGCTCTGTGTACGGGTACTCGTCGGTGGCGGGGATGGCAGCAGAGCCCTCGACGGAGGCGATGGCCTGGTCGATGGCGCGCTGGAAGGGCAGAATGTAGATCTGGACATCGTTGTCGTCCTGGCCCACGTAGATTTCCTCTCCCAGCGCTCCGTCGGATCGGATGGTGTAGTTCCAGCTCTCGCCCTGGCCTTGGCTCGGACTGGAAAGGAAGGACACTGCACCATAGCATGTGCTGGCGCCCCGCAGCGAGCTCTCGCACGTCGAAAGCAGTTGAACATCCTGCTGAATAGTCACGGCCTGCAGGCCAGCGTCGCGGACCTGGGTGGATAGCTGTGCAATGACGTCTTGAATGTCGCCACCAGTGTGTCCGTTGTTGACGAAGACGACCTTATCACGGCCGCCTTGGGCAGCACCGAGGGCGTCGGGAAAGGAGCGGATGAGAGACGGCTCACCGATGCCGTACTCTGACGGCGGGACAAAGAAGTTTTTCGCATAAGATATGAAGAACATCTGCGGCAGAGCCCTGGTTAGCCATTGTTGTGCGGGGGGCGACGAGGCGTCGACATACAAAGATAATGGGAGCCCAGAATGCGCGGACACTCGTGAAGAACCAGTGGCGCACGAAGACGACGAGCAGCGTCTTCTTGGTGAGGATCCATGTCTGGCTCACGATTGCGCCCGCCATGGTGGCTTTGTAGTCTTGGGGCGGCGTCGTCTCGAGATGGGGTCGCAGTCGCTACAAGACCGCGCGTGGAGGCATCCTGCTTCTCTTGGGAGAGTGGAAGGGCGCAGAGAGCGTCTTGAAGCATGGATGGCGAAGAGACGACGCCAATGCCGCGCCCCGTACCCAGCGTATACGGAACGACGCCGAGCAGACGACGTCTTGTCCGACGTCTTGGACCCGCGCCAGCCCTCCAGGGCCGTCGCCATGATCCACATGGGGCGCCAAGCTTGGAAAGTGCCAACACGCTGCGTGCCTGCCCAGCGGCCCGGCTTACCTCAGCCTGCTCCCGTAGCTGGGTCCAGGTCTGTGTCTGTCGCGACGCCTGTCTACCACAGCTGGCACTGCGTGAGGACGCTGTTCGAGCGCGGCTCGGCGACTGCATCCGCCCAGACAGCGCCCAGTCATGACAAGCCTCGCGTGCACATCCTGGCATCCTGGCATCGCTGCGCCTCCTGTCCTGTTTGCCGTCGCGTCATCGATTGTGTGCGACGCGGTAGGGCCATCGTGCCATGACCTGCCCCAGACGGGCCGACGTGTGCCGACAGCGTGGTTTACAGTGCACCGTCGCCGCAACCTCACCTCATGCTAGGAGAACAAGTCTGGGTCCGTCGAATATTCACTCACGCCCTTTGCGTCTTGATATGCTTGTCCGCTCGGCTTCGTGTGCCCCAGTCACGCACGCAGCTCTTCTCCAGATTCCCGAGGTCTGGTGGGGACCTATCGCTCATCTGGGATAGTCACGTGATGGGGTGGTATCGGCCACCCTGGACGAAGCTATGACGGGGGGTTCGTGGCTGCCGAGGCCGTGGCACGCGTCGGCGCAGCCTCCTCCCACAGCAGCGGCATCTCTCCTGCGCAACGACGACGACGACGCCGACAAGCAGCTCGCCATGGACTTTGACGAGGCGCTGCCCTCTTCGCCGCCGCCCTCTTCGCCGCCGTGCGCGGGCACCGACGACCTCGCGCCCAGCCCCTTCTTCGAGCGGCACCCCACGGCCTTCACCACCAAGTCGAGCTCCCCTCCGCCCGTCTTCTCCAGCGACGACTCGTGCGAGTCGGTCGACGTGGCCAACTACGAGTCCCCGCGCATACACAAGAACAAGCGCAAGGGCGCGTGGTGGGACACGCACGCGTCTGCCCACGCCAGCCCCCAAGTCAAGAAGACCAAGTTCGCGCGCAACTTGGACTCGGGCATCTACATGCTTAGCGACGCGACCAACAGCTGCGATGACCTGCCCCTGCCCCCGTACATGCCGCCAGCCTCTCTCCGCGCCGCCGTCTCGCTCCCCCGCTCGCTCCACGCGCGAGCTGCCGACGATGAGGCCATGGACGTCGACGTCGACGTGGCGAGACACGCCGCTCCAGCGGCCGTCTTCAACCGGCACATCGACGACGGCCTTGCCGCAGACCGCGAGTCGTACGACCTCGTTGGCCTCGACCTCGCCGACCGCGACATCACACGCATTGGCGAGCTCAATTCCGTCATCAGCCACCCTCCCGTCTACGACAACGAGCTCCCCACGGCGGGCCAGTACCGCTCTCTGCTCCCCAGGCTCCACGTCAACCTCGGCAAGAACAAGCTCCGTCGCCTCGTGCCCGCTTTGTTCCACCTCGACGATCTCACTGGCCTCTATCTGCGCCAGAACGACATCGACGAGCTTCCCCAGCAAATCAGCCGCCTGCGCAAGCTCGAGGCCCTCGACGTATCCCTCAACAAGCTTCACTACCTCCCCTTCGACATCGTCACTCTTCTTGCCCCACATGGAAACATGACCCGCCTCACTCTCATGGGTACCGATCTGCTCCAGCCAATGTCCTTCCGCCGCTTCTCCCTCACCGACTACCAGAAGCAACACCAAGGGCCCCTTCACCACCTCGATGACGTACGAGAAGACGCAAACAAGCAGCTCGCTCATCTCTATCCAACGCTGGCAACGTGCCAAGACCGCGACCAGGCTGTCTGGCGCATCCGCTATTTCGAGTCCTGGGCCAACTCTTTTGGCGGTGCAGACGACGCCCGAGAGTGCGCCGCTGAAGATGTTGGCTTCTATTCGCACCACCCTTCGTTGCGCCTAGAGGCTTTAGTAGAGGGCGATGCCGTTGCCCACGCGCCACGGTACATTGCTCGGACTCTGGTTTCTTACTATGGGCAGGATGGCAAGCTTCTCAAGGGCTCTCCAAAGCTCCCTACTTCCGACCAGGAACACTACTCGGTAATCATCGAGACGAATCAGGGTACATACGGCCTACCTTCCTCACCGTGGTTCGTCCCTCCGTGCACAAGCAAAGTTTCCTCCCTCTTCACAACGACCCTGCATATGGCACTCCACTCTTTGGAGCCCCACAAAATACGTGACTACCTCAGCCCGTGTGCTCTCCCCATGGTGGAAGCCATTCTCTCGCGAGCAGAAGCGAACGCTGCCGACGGATACGGTCTCTTCCGCGAGTGCCATGTCTGTCGCAAGCATTACGTTGTGGCACGCGCCGAGTGGGTTGAATTCTGGAGTCGGGGCTCAGGTGACTTTCTTCCACTGAGAGTTAGCGTGTGCTCGTGGGGTTGTGTACCTCCAGGCATGGTCAAGAGACCGCAGAAGGAATTGACATGGTGAGGCCAGGAGGTTGTCAGTTGATGCCAGACAGTAACGTGAGATGTTTATTGTAGTCACAAACCATCAAGTTGTGTCGTGAAACAAGTCATACTCTTGCAGGAATACACCAAAGACACTCGGGTTGCATCGGTCACACAGTCTCCGACACGCCTGTCTATCCCGACACCTAGAACACTACCCGTGGACTCGAGATGTAGCTAGGTAGAAATCATGTAGCAACTCCCATATCCATGCAGTAACACCTTCTTGGCATGGTGCTCAACAGCCATCGTACCTTGGCCCGTCTACTCCACATGCGAAAAGCCCTTGGCGGAAAGTGCGCTAATCTTGCTGGTCGCGTTTACGACAGCTGCTCTACATCACTCATATTCCGAAACTGAAGCGTGTTGCCTACGCTTGGAACATGTATGGCGGAATGATGACAACCGTAGCTGCCTCTCTCAGCTAGATGGATTGCTAGCCGAAACAGGCTTGGACGGCGCTGTTCGGACGATTGCGATAACAACACGCCGTGTTAGTGGGCATCCCTGGTGCATCACTACTTCTTGTAGGCCTATATCTCGTACTCCAATTCCTGATTCGATACCAAGATGTAAGGCTCGCCAAGCACACCTGGGCATGTTCTATGTGCGAGCGTGTTTGTCGTGCCTTCCGAGACCACCTGCACACAAGCACTTCTACGCAGCTGCGCAGTTCCATGCTGCACCCATGGATGTGCAGATGGAATCGAACATCTCTACAAGTAGCCTAGCTCGTCTATGAACACTGAAGAAGCTTATCAGCTCTTGTACTCTCTTGCCGTTGTCCTTATCGGCGCCTATCTTCAGCCCTGGTTCGTATCCTTGCCAGTCTCGACTCGTTCCACCGGACCATCGTCCGCGGCTTGACGTGAGCGTATGGAGAAAGCCATATCAGCGTTCATCTGGGGTTATCATGTCCGGCTTGGTGAATCCGCGTGGGACTACGTATCGCAGCTGGACAAGCATTCCTTGGTTACACGGCTAGCATGCTGACCGGGTTTACTTGATCCGACTGCATGCAAGACTCTTATCTACAATTCAACTCCCTTTTCTACTTCTTGACTGATTGTTTACCGTCAGAGTCCCAAAAGCAGTCATGTCCGAGAAGAAGGCAGAAGACTCGGCTATCGGAGAACAGAGCGTGGACTATGGCATTGGCCATGTTCGCAAGTCGCATACGGCGAGTCGCAGGAAAAGCTCCGCGGTCGATCCAGAGATTATTGCGGGAGAGATATTCGACGAGCGTTATGAGACTACCCAGCGTGGTCTGAAGTCACGGTCAGTAGACCCCTCTTGATACCCTATATCCTCAAAGACTGACGGAACGTAGACATGCTCAAATGATTGCGTTGGGTGGCACAATAGGTACTGGGCTCTTTGTCGGCTCAGGCCAAACCCTCGCTCGTGGCGGCCCGGCCTTCATCCTGTCCACGTACATCGCCATGTCGTTCTTGATCTTTTGTACCGTTGCGGGTATCATTGAAGTCGCGGCCTATCTGCCGACCCCGGGGTCTTCCATGGTAACTTGTGGCCGTACCCAAGGCATGTGACACACGACTGACCTTGTACCTTCAGAACCTTTTCGGTTACCGCTATGTGTCGCGCTCTATGGGGTTCGGCCTGGGTTGGCTATACTTCTACTCGCTCGGTATCCTTGTGCCTTACGAAATCACGGCAGCCGGGTTGGTCATTGAGTATTGGAACCCGCCCGTGAACATCGCAGTGTGGATCACAGTCATGATCATTGTCATCGTTGGACTGAACTGCTTTCCAGTCAGGTTCTACGGCGAGACAGAGTTCTGGTTTGCCGGAACAAAGGTTATCATGATTTTAGGGCTCCTGATTCTGTCATTTGTTTTGTTTTGGGGTTAGTAATACCCCTGCACAAACTGCGTATGATACAACCACTGACTTTATACATTTATCTTAAAGGCGGCGGTCCACAGCATGACCGACTCGGCTTCCGGTACTGGAAGAACCCTGGCGCGGCGAATACGTATCTAGAAGAAGGAAATGCTGGGCGATTTGTGGCCCTCTTATCCACTATGGTACTCTCTGCTGTAAGCATGCTTCCGGCGAAGCCTTATATCTACTTGTCTGACCCTCATGTCTAGTTCCCCTTCACGTTTGCTCCCGAGCTTCTCGTTGCAACAGGTGGCGAGATGCAGTCACCGCGTCGCAACTTGCCTACTGCGGCACGCAGATACATATACCGCCTACTCTTCTTCTATGTTGGCAGCGTACTGGCTATCGGAATCATTTGCCCCTCCGACGACCCCATCATTACGTCTGGTGGTTCTGGAGCTGGCTCGTCGCCCTTTGTTGCGGGAATTAAGAACGCTGGCATCCCCGTGCTGGACAGCATCATCAACGCAGGTATCATCATCAGTGCATGGTCGTCCGGAAACTCCTTCCTATTTTTGTCCTCGCGCTCGCTATACGCGCTCGCCCTGTCTGGCAACGCACCTTCCGTCTTCAAAGCATGCACCAAGTCCGGTGTACCGTATTGGGCTGTTACTGCCTCTTCGTTGTTCTGCGTTCTGGCATACCTAAACGTAGGCAGCGAGAGTGCGGTCGTCTTTAACTGGTTCGTGAATTTAACAAACACGTCTGGATTCATCTCCTGGATCTGCTGCGGCATCATCTTTCTGCGCTTCCGGAAAGCCTGCGAAACGCAAAACATCACGGATCTTCCATATCGCTCACCGGTGAACAAGTGGGGTGCTTGGTGCGTCATCATCAGCTTTACAATTCTCTGTTTGGTCAACGGGTTCGATGTCTTCTGGCCTGAGAAGTGGGACGTTAGCTCTTTCTTTACTGCGTACGTGGGTATTCCCATGTTCTTCCTGTTCTATGGGGGGCATCGGATTTGGGCCTGGAGCGATAGTTGGGCTTATGATCCAGCAGAGGTAGATCTGAAGACGGGTATGGATCAGGTGCTTGCTGAGGAGGTGCCGGCGCGAACAATGAATATGAAAGGGCCATGGTGGAAGAAAATCACCTTGCTTTGGCAATAGACGCGAAGGCGCTTCGAAGAGCTGTACGACAGGGGCAGGCAGCTATCGGTTCTCCCAAGTCATGTTTTTGTTCTACCATCATTCATTATGCAACATCTCGGACATTGCCCATCAAGCCTCTTCTCTTATATCCCCCTCCCGGACGGTCCCGTAACGTCCTGACTGAGGGAAGGAGACATGCCCGTGTCATTTTCCTAGCATCCTCCGATGGAATCTGATGGAAGGAAGCACACCATCGTCTTCGGGGCCCAGGCTTCGCAATGGTGGGTACTCAAGATAGCAGCACGTGAGGGTCAGAAGAAGCTGCGTAGCTCCGGACGAAATTAGCGCCAAACGTGCCGCCTGCGTCATTGACCAGCCCTGGAGGGATGTGGGGCCGGGTGGCTGGGTACCGCATCATCAACATTCAGCCGACTACGCTACTACGCTTGTCCATTGCTTCATCATCTGCAACCGACTACCGTATCTTCCCTAACTTCATCAAGTTCATTCTGGTACAATCCATCTCAGTCGTCTTCATCTTCCTTCTTCCGCTGGCGGTTCAGCTCATCGATAACCTTCTTGCCACACGCCAAAACCTCCAGTGTCCGACTCTTGTTATCGTGGTCTCTTGTTTCCGGGACCAAGAAATATGTTGTTACGGCACCTGCTAGCATGAAAGCGCTCATTACTTGCAGGATATGTCCGAAATTCTTGCGTTCCCATTCAAAATCGCTTGTGGGTTCGGATTTGTCGGATTGGAATGCATATGCCAGAAAGACTTGCACCACCCAAGACCTATGGTGCGAGTTTTCGAAGTCAGTACATGTCTCATATGCAGTTCTTCCGCGGTTTGTCCTCACCCGAGTTTGCCACTAGCCGCAGCTATGCCGTGGCAGGTGCACCGGTACCTCGTAGGGAATATCTCGGCAGGGATAACTTGATGCACGAAATTAGTAGATGTTTCACAACAGGTCGCACACGGATATCACTTACTAAAAGTCGTCACATTCGGTCCCAGGTTGAAGGCGATGTGGCTGAGCACGTAAAGCACAATGAGTCCCGAGCGACTGCTGTCGAGTAGGTTGGTCCAAGCACTTCCGGTTACGATGAAGAGAACGAATAGAACCAAGAACCCCCAGAACTGAATCACTTTTGGCGACGCATGCTTGACAATCTTGATCATTAGCAGGCCGCCGACAACTGTCCCTATGGAAACCATCACCAGGGTGTGTTTGCTATTATCACTCAACGTCTGGTAGACGGAAGATCTGCTGTTGTTGTTTCCCTGCCAGATGTGGCTGACAATTTCTGGTGAAGAGAGGCCCAACCCATAGACTGTCTCAAATTTAGTGGTTTTACCGCAGTGGTCTGGCAGTGTACCTACACGCGAAATCGAGAAACAGCCAGGCCAACGACGTTCCTAGAAGGTACTGCCAGTTTTTTTCCGCTATAAAGAATTGTTTTGCGTCGGCCCACGAGGCAAGGGGAGGAACAAAATCCGGGTCGCCTGGAGGAAGCCGGCCGCGAGGCGCTGCGGCGGGACGAAGATGTACGTCACTGAGTCGGTGTCCGGAGTCACTGTCGCTCTCAATCTCCTCGTCGGGTGCAATCACCGAAGCGTTGGTCGATTGCCTCGATACAGGCCTCGGAACTTCCTGTGTTGCAGCCAGATCTAGCAGTTCCCTCTCGCCATGTTCGGGGTCTGTTCCGGGCGCACCAAAGTAGTTCGCCGTATCTTCGAGGGTGCTTTTTGTGTTTTGCAAGATGTCCAGCGTATACCTCGGACTCTCTGGTATCGTGAATCGAAAGACCAGAGCGATGAGAGCCGGCACAATGCCGATCCCAACTACGAGCCTCCAAAGTCGGTCGATAGCTCGGAAGCACTCCAAGTCGGCAGGCTGACAAGACTGTGTGGCCTCCTTGATCCATGGCTTGTACGACTCCACTGCAGCAAGTGATAGAACATTGGCGAGCAGCTGTCCAACAGGTTGGGCGAAAAAAACCCAGCTCAACATTCGCGCACGATGTTTGCGAGGTGCGAACTCGGCAGTAATGACCTGAACCCACGATTAGCATCAGTACGGTCACGTTGGAAACAATACCTACAGCACTCAAAGGGTAGTCCGCCCCGATACCGATCCCTAGTTATCGTCAGTCTTACGATGCATTCGTACATCAATTCGCTTCTTACCCATGATCGCTCGCCAGGTGATCAGCCATCCTCCAATTGCCATGCTGTTCTTCTCCCCGTTCGAACTCATGAGCAGCAGCATTGTGCCAACGATGACGATCACCAGCTCAAGACCATACATTTTTCGTCGGCCCAACATGTCTGCCGCGAAGCCGAATCCTATCTGGCCGACCATTGTACCCGCTAGTGTGGAACACATCATGGCTGTCTTGACAGAGGACGGCACCGAGGGTATACCGCCTTCGTTGCGATTAGGCCAGTAGACATAACCGAGCATGGGGGTAACGACATTCAAAGCAAAAAGGCCGAACGAATCTGTTAGGAAGCCGATCCCAGCTACTACTACTACCCAGACCTGGAAGGGCGCTGAATCAATCGTCGCGAGAGTCCACCGTCGACGCCTTATCTTCTGTCCATCAGATTAGCCAGAGAAGATCGATCCTAGGACTACTACGAGTGGCAGAGGGAAACCTACCGGTATACCGCTCCCGCCTGTTGTTATGTCCGGCACCCCAACTTGGTGGCCTCTCATTGGACGCATGATCCATTTACGGAGGCCCATTGTAGCGATAGGGGTGACAGAACTGTAACAGTATGGTAGTTATACCTACGTGCGAGGGTTCCGGCAATAGTCAGTATGTAACGGGGTCTGTCGTGCAGAACCGCCTTGGGGCAGCATCTTTCATATTGTGAATGCGCAAAGCTTCAGCCTCCACCATGACACGGACTACCGAAGGCAGATTTCAGACGGCGTGCATAGCCCGATACCACAAGGCAAACCGGTCAACAGAATAGGACGTATGCGAACTGGCCCTATTCGTGCGTTCTCAATCAGCGCATCCAATCTCGTTTGGTTCGCCGAAGTCAGGCTTGGTGGCGTTCATTGCCGCGATCCAAGCGTCCAGGCCTTCATCACTGGAGTCCTTTGGAATGTGTGGTTGCTGCTGATGTCTAAATCATGGTGCATTCTCCGGCTCCTCCCGTTTGCGATGCTTCCGAGGTCGTTCAGCTGCGAACGCTGCGATGAGTGGGCAACAGCATCTTGCTTTATGAAATCCAGTTCCTTGTGAGTTCGTGCAGGCTGCATCAAAACATGTTCCAAGATTCCAAGGGAAAGCCACGCGTGGCTGAATCGAGCCCTGGAGTTGGCTGGCCCGTCTGGTAGTCGACCATGGCCGTTCGCTCCCCCACGTGTTGATCTTCGCAACCTCATTGAACGCCAAAAGCTACTATGCCGAATTAGGCGTACCATTCTAATACCGCCACATGCACAAACACGAGCTGTCCGCCACCTTTGGATAAGCTCATGGCTGCCCTGGGCTGCCCTGGGCTGCCCTGATTGCTGCCGACAGTAGAAGGCTTCGACGAGTTTGCGTGCCTGAGCGGTAGCAGGATGTCAGCAGCGCCGTGAGCCACCCCCCAGATGCCGGAGCGGTCTACCTTAGGCTAGCTCTATCGGACGCGTGACGAAGAGACGACCGTAAGCTCAGGTGGTTCTTACTACACCAGCTTGTCCTTTTCATGGAAGCCTGATGCTTGGACGATGATTGTCCCTACTGTGCACCAACAGTTCTATAACGTATGAGCAGTCTTTACACAAACTCTGTTGCGCTTGAGCGCGGCGCAACCCTACGAATATGTCCTTTGGGTGCAGTCCGTCCGATGTTCTGAAATTGTTGGAGATTTCGACCCGTGTATATCTTGCGTTCAAAGGTATGGCGCCAGCTACCCCCCTCTGGTGGCAACCGTCAGGGACCACCTCGCTCATCATTGCAACTAGATGCCAACGAAAATTCGGAAGCGCAAGTCAGTGGGCTTGTTAAGGAATTCACCACATTCCATGGCTGTCTCAAAGAGCTGGGCGAGCTAATGAGACAATATGGCCAGCCGCTACGTGAGCGTTCATCTGTGTACTACATTTGCGGCATGCACTGACGCGAGATAACAACGCGCAGCATTCCCTGTCCAGGATTTCGAAGACACGCTGAAGAAGTGTGAAAAGACCTTGGAGCCATACGCTGAACATCTCGTCGATAAGAAGATGACCGTCAAGAAGTTCATCTTCACGATCAGATACATCGGGATGGAAAAGGAGATCGATGGGCTGAGGAAACAGATCAGCGGCCATTACCAAGCGCTGAACATGTGCATTTCCTTTCTGCAATTGTAAGCCTCTTTCGTACTCGAAACAGCAGTCGCTGACCGTCGTTAGGCGGCTACATCTCGAGGCAACCAAGCAGACTCAGCGTCTTCTCGACGCTCCGCCGTCTCGTACAGTAAACCTCGGCGGCCGCTCTTACTCCACAAACACTCTTGGTGCCCCAAGCAACCGCGCACCACTGGCACTCGCGTCTTCCGACGAACACCCGTTGTTCAGCGAATGGAAAATCTTTGATCGATGGCTGCAAAGTGAGGACGAACGTGTTGCTCAAGAAGCGGGACTATCGCGGCCTCTTTCTCTGGGAGACACACCTGCTACGTATTCTACTGGTGATGTTCAGACAGCTGCTGTACTATATCATCTGAGACGGCAGGTTGATGACGCCATTTTCATCGAGGAGAATCGCGCAAAGCGAGCTACGGCGGAGAAACGCTCACACTTGGTCCCAAGCGACGCGATGAAGCAGCAGGTCCGCAACATGCCACCAGCTCCATTGCGAACCTACACCCTCGAGACAGATCACTCCGGGAACTTCACCATGTTTGGCCAAGAAAGCTTGAGTGACTCCATGGGCAGCAGCCGCCCGACCTTGGGTCTACAGCCATCGTCTCCAGATTACTTTGGATCAGTCGATTGGTCGCAGTCGCCTAGACCGACATCGCTTGG